TTTTAATATTAAAAAAAATGCTTGTATAAAATTATGTGATTATATAGAGTTTGTGATTATATAGGAGGTGATTGTATAGAAGGACGACTGTAGTAATATTTAAAAGTATTAAAGTTTTGTTAAAGTTTTGACAAAAAATTAGAACTAGTTATTTGTTAGTTATATGAAGTTATATTAATATACTGTAGTTGCTATTAAATATTTTTAAAGTTATATGAATTTTTATAAACAACTAAAAAATAAATTAATTGTGAATATCTATATTTAATTTTTATTACTATATTATTTTAAAATAATACTTAAAAAAATTTTATTCACAACTCTTTCCATCAATCATTTGGTCAACAAATTTAAGAAAACTGAACTACAAAAAAATTTTATAGAAGCTACTAAAGTAAATAATATACTTGATTTTATACAAGTAGATGTATTGTTGATGAAGTACCAAGAGTATAAAACTAAGATGCAGACTACTTTGGACTGGTTTTTGTAGAGGTCAAACTTTGGTTAGTAGACTCTTCTATTATATTTGGTATTCAAACCAAAAGAGTATTTTAGAAATATAAAATGACTAGATCAATACCAGGAGTATTACAAACTTTGAGTATATTTATACAACTATAAAACTTACAAGAAACAACTACAGAAAAGCTTTGTTGACCCACCACTTTTTTCAAAAAAATTTTATCAAAAAGTGGATATTTTAGCTTATTCTTTTCAAAGATTAATATATAATTTTTCAAAATGGTCAGTATTGTTTATCTGTTTATATAAGTAAATAAAATTATTAAAACAAGATAATAGATAGATGTCTGGAATAAGTGCTGTGTACAAATTGTATAACAATACAAATAGGTTATATGCTTTGAACTAAAAAAACTATTAAATAATACTTCAAGATTTCTGTTTTGTACTTTGGGCTACTCTGTCTAGTTTTTTTAGTTTAACTAATTTTTTTAACTCTAATCATAAAGTTTTTTTCAGATATATATATTATTAGAATAGAGTTAGATACAGAACTTCTTGATCTTGTAATATATAATTTTTTAAGACCAAATACAGGTTTATAATTGTGACTATTAGATTCCTTTTTTCTTTTTTTTCTATTTTTTGTTTTTGTATTGATTTTTAGTATTAGTTTTTGTCATTTTTCTTCCCCTTTTTAGTACTAGAATTAATGTTAGTATTTTTTTTGTTTTTTTTTACTTCTCTATAAAAAGATGTTATCAGAATGACAGTATTCTATTGTAAGATAGTAGTTTGATATAAGTTTTCAGATTATAGTATTTAATTTCATTTTAATTTAGTGCGTAAGTATAAAGAAAATTTATTAATCTGTTTATAATAAGTATTCAGGTTCATGAATATTTACCGTCTAATTCTTTAATTCAGGTTAATTCATTGCATAATTTCATTTTATTCATGTTGATTTAGTGCTTAAGTATAAAAAAAATTTATTGGTCTAGTTTAAAATCGTCATTTCCTATTCAATTTTCTTTAATTCACGTTAATTTAGCTTAAATATGAAAAAATTTGATTAGTCTAAGCAAGCTATTCAGTTCATGAATAGATACTATTTAATTTCTTTTTTTTTTTTTATGTATTATTTGTGTACAAGTACAAAGAAAATTTATTAATTCGTGTTTAATAAAATGAGCTATTTAAGTTAATAGACAGTTAAGAAAAACTTTAATATTTTTGAGTTTTTACATTAATTTTTTTTTCAAAAAAAAAGCTTTTTGGACGAATAAAAAAAAAAAAATACGACCCAGCGTTATATGTCTACGATATTATTGCTTTATTACTTCTTGCACATATAGTACATTTGATTATCTCGGCATATTTTTTATAATGAACAAATGAATGCCTTATACTATCTTTTTCAAATCTTATTCCAATCCGTCTCGACAGATTATTATAATGAATAAATGCTTTGTTCTTATCTTTTCAACTTATTCTATTCTATTCCGAATCAATAATCAACATTTTATATATATATATATATTTTTTACAAAAATTCAGTTGATCACTGGCTCTAGCATTTTTTCCAAATTGCCAACGAATCGTGACGCTTTATCAGGACTTTTTTCTGCAAATCTGTAGTAGCATTCTCAGGTCCTTTCTAATAATTCATTCATTTTTTGCCAACTTTTTTCAGCTGCTTTATCTATCGCAGATATCTGGGTAACAGGTACCTTCACAATACATGGATTTGATATACTTTCATTCCACTTTCTTTGAAAGTTTCTTGAAAGCTGGCCCGAGCTTCTGGAGTTAAAATATTGGCACCACAAAGTTGTTTATGAAAAATATGATGACACGGTAGCATATACCGATTGAAGAATCTGCACAAACATTCTGCACTTGCAAGGTTTGGTAGGCACTTTCCTTCTTCTAGTCTTTTTGCAATGGCATGTACTTCTTCTGCGATAAGTCTTTGAAGAAGAAAAGAAAATTTATGTATTTCATTAAGAACTTCTGGTCTAATATTGGCAAAAGAAATTCTTTTGGTGCAAAATTCGATTGCAGTTTCTTTTGCAGTTAACATTTTTTTGTTGTCAAGTTCTAAAAGAATATGACATGCCCCTAGATGATGATAAAAAAAATACTATGTTAAAAAAAAAAATAAAAAAAAAGGGATGAAAAATTTTGTGCTATGATTCATCGATCATTCATAACATGATAATATTGTAACCAATCGAACTTGCATACTAAAAAATAAATAAATAAATAAATAAATCTTAATCATTTTTTTAAAACTTTAAATGAAAATGCTGTACCTGAAAATTTCTAATAAATTTAATGCCTAAGTACCACTGACCTGTAGAATCCAAATTCATCTCTGAACATCAAAAAAAACTAGGTCATACCCGAGATATCGTTGCTCAAATGCTTAAAAAAAAACTTAAAAAAAAAATTCAAATTAAGCCAAGATTATTAGATCGAATGTTAAGATAAGTCAGCGAGATGTTATTACAAAGTGTACCTGCTAATAACTTTCCCCCTTCTGATCCAAGATTGTTACTTTCAAGATTCAAAGAAGCTAGTGTAGCGGTTTTACAAAGTAGACTTTCCTTCTGATCCAAGATCATTACTAGTAATATTAAAGTTTTTAACGTAGTGTTCTTGGAAAGTCATCTGCTAATGTTTTCCTCCTCTTGATCCAAGTTCAATCAAGTCAAAAATTAACGTGTTGTTCTTGCAAAGTGTAATGCTAATGCTTTTTTCCTCTTCCTGATCTAGAATCATTACTAGTAAGAATTAAATCTTTTAGTGGCATTCTCGAAAGTGCATACTTTTCCTCTGAATTGTCCAAATTCATTTGAGCTAAAAACTAGTGAAGTCAGTGTGATGTAGAAAATTATATTTTTGCAAAAATACTGTAAATTTTTGAAATAACGGGCATGGGCGTTATTTCGAATTTTGTCCCGAATTAAACTTAATTCGGGCCAAAATTCGAAATAATGCCCATGCCCGTTATTTCAAAATTTTATGGCACTATTGTCAATAAAATTTCAGACCAGAACTTACAAGAAAAACCCTAGATCAATACACTTATTTGATCTTTAGGACTATGCTGGCTGTTTTCAAGAATTTCTTCAAATAGTTCCAATACATTAAGAAATTTGCCTTGCTCAAGAATTTATATGCTTCTTTTCTTAAATTTTAAGAATAGTTCTGTCTTCCACTGAAGTATAGATAAATAAAGTGAAATGCTGTAAATTTAAGTAGATTTACAAGTAAGCTTAAATTACCTTGATTACTTGAAAAAATTTCCTGATGTCCCAATAGAACGGTGTTGACTAAAAGTTTTATCTGTTTTAAAGTATTGAGACTTATTCTTTTTTCTAGTGATTTCCGAATTCACTTTCTCAACATTTTTTGTAAAGTTCGATACATTGAGATGGTGTAACTTTATAGACCCTCTATTTCTCTTGGAAATATGAACAGCAAGCGTAACAAGCATAAGTCAAATTTAATGGATGGGAACGGAAGCTTTTTACTTGAAATTTTCCAAAGAATTTGCCTAAAGCTATAAACATCAGATCTCTTACCATGTTTATATCCATGCTTAATAAGACAATGAGAAATGATCTATGTCAGCATTCCATAAACGATTGAATTAAAGTCATAGACTTTATATTCATTTTGCTTTGATAGCCCACGATTGTAATCTTTGTTTGACTTTGATGAATTAAGGTTTTCAAATACTAAATTATTAAATTATAATGATCAAAGTATGTATCAGTAAATTAATAAATACAAATCTAGATATATAGTGCTATGCTTACCAGATATCTGAATAATATTATTATCAAGCAAAAATAAAAAACCGAGTTCTTTTTCCTTAGCAATACAAATTCGATTTGCTGCAATATTACTATGTGGTGAGTAATAGATAAAACCTGGCCAAAATTTTTTACACAAAAAAAGTTAAAAAAAAATTTTCAAACTAGTAAAGATACTCACCAATCAAACCATATTGGACAGAAATTTTTGCTTTTAACTCACTGTGGAAAGATTTGAGAGCATTAGTAGAAGTAATTTGAAGAAGAAGTGGTGAATGTTGTCGAGCCCAGAGAGACCATTGTCTCGAATTTTTTAAATAGTTTCTGGAAATGTATTTTGTATTGGCTTGAACGGGGCAGGTATTAATAGCATTACGAATGATATCTTCACATCCAACTTGTGTTTTTTTGTGCATCACGTGAACCATTTTATTAAGTGTGAGACTATGGTAAATATTTTTTATCCATATTCGTATGATATGTACGGTACAAAGAAGAACATCACATTCTTGCTCTCCTATAAATCCAAGTAATTAATTTGTAAGTAAAATTATTTATATTTTCGCAACTTATAACATTACATAAAATTATTTTAAAAAATAAAATAAAATAAGATAAAAATATATATATAAAAAAATATATATGTATATTGTGCCTCAGATTAACGTTTGCCTCAGATGTTGATTTTTTGGCCAGCATTAACTGATCGATATTGATTGGCCTAAACTATACTCTTCTCCTTCCCAAATTCTTACCCTAACCTAACCTAACCTAGGCTGATCGACATCTGAGGCAAGCATTAGTCTGAGGCATAACATATACATACAAAAAATATATATATAAAAATATATATATAAAAAATATATATATGTATAAAATAATAATTTTTGCTCTCTACCTACAGAAAGACCTGGAAAAGATAGTGCGACACCATTGGATTCTACACTGCTTTGATCAAGAAGCACATACCGTGGATTCTAGTGTGGAGCAAAATTTCGAATAATTCTTAATGCTGCTGCAACAACCTCACTTGTTTCTCTATTAACAAAAAAATGAACACTGGCATTCCAACAACCACAGCTATCGCGGATATATAAAGTAAATAAGTGCTATCTATGCTTATTAGTATTATGAGTAGAATCTATTAGCATTAACTAACCATAACGTATTAAATTTTCTATTTGCCAAGTATTTGCAAAACAGAGGCCACGAAAATGCACAAGTGATTCTCGCACTTGAAAAGACTCAACCTGATAATTATTTTTTAGCAAAAATTCAGTAGTATCAAAAATATTAGATTTTCAATTTGCATCTCCAACAAGATGCGAATTCATCTGACCAACAAGCTTCTGCTTGATATTAGCAACCTCCTTAGTTTTCAAATACTCCACGCCCGAGTTTTCATGTAACTTAGAGACTTCTTTCCTAATAATATTAGCGATTGTTGGGGGTTTGTAATCCTTAATTGCCTCACTACTAACTATATTTTTGATAAATTTTGACCGTTTACGCATATCATTTTCTTCAATTGAATGACTATGATCGGGAGTACCACTCACCTACAAATTATATTTTATTTTTTAATTTTTTAAAAA